ATTTTTTTTTTTTTTTTTTGTTACAGCCGTCATTGTTGTTTGGCAGGCCCAGGCTGGATTCCGACCAGCCAGCTCAGGTGTATGTGGCTGGCACCTTAGCTGCTTGAGCTACAGGCGCCAAGCCGAATCATTTAATTCTCATAACCCAGCGAAATAAGGAACGTCATTTAGGAAGACAGGGAAATTGAAATTTCAAGTCTTAAGTAACTTGCCCAGTACCACACAGGCAGTAAGTAGCAAGGCAGGATTCGAACCCAGGCTGTAGTTGGTGTTTGTTGTCTCAACCACTCTCACTCCACTGCTTATTCCAGAGCCCCAGCCCTCGCCTGACGTTCTGCGTCAAAACCTACGAACGCCTTTTCTACATGGTCGCCCCAAGCCCCGAAGCCATGCGCATTTGGATGGACGTCATCGTGACAGCAGCCGATGAAAACCACGCCCCCTGATTTGCCCCCGCCCATTCGGGGGACGTCCCGGCGAGGCCCCACCCTTTCACGTACGCGGCGGCCCTCCGAGGCCCCGCCCACTGCCAAAAAATCTGGGCCCTCTCCTTTGGAACTCTTCCCTGGAAGTCTGCTGGCGCTGCAGCTCGGCTGGTCTGAGTCTTGGCAGGTGTCTTCCGCCACAGGATCACCGGCCCCTGAGGCCCTGCCTGGGGCAGGAGGAAGATTGCGGGGAGGGAAGGAACTATTTATTGGTGCTCCTATGATACCGAATTAAACCGGGAGGAAAACCGGGTTGCTGCTGTGGTTTCCAGACCAGGCGTCTGGGGCCCCTTGGCCCCTAGGCAGGACATCGAGTCATGGGTACCTCTGAGAGCCAAGCGTCACACAGCTTTCTTTCTCTTTCGGAATAGAGCCCTTCAACCCTAAAGTCATGGCTGGGTGAAGTGGGTAGGAAGGCATTGGTCTTCAGTGTTTGGCAATCTTGCATTTTTAGTTTGTAGGCTGTTCTGCTTCCACCCTTTTTGGCCGGACAAATGTGGCAATTCTGGGAACTCATGAGCTATTGGCAATTTCTAAGAACTCGTAGGCTCCCTCCCTTTAGGACTTAGCACATGTTCCTCTGTTGTTTTCTTCCCTTAAGTAGTTTCTTGTCTTAGTTCAGAGGTCCCCTTCTTCAGGAAGTCTTCATTGACTCGCTGGCTGGGTCAGGCACTCTCCCAGCCCAGCCCCAAGGACCCTGGGTCATCACTGGCAATGGATCTGTGCCCTTTATGCACTAGGAGCTCCATGAGGCAGAACCAGCGTGTCCCCAGTACTACAGGGCATGTTTCATTCTATGAAAGTGAAAAGAAAAAATGTTTCCCTTTCACCTCTAGGTCTTTGTACGTACTGTTTTCTTTGCTTAGGCACCTCTCCCTACTTCACCCAGCTTCTACTACTCATTGTTTGGATTTTAGCTCCTGTGTTATGTCTCTTTCTCCAGGAAGCCCTCCCTGATTGCCCTGGTGGGTCAATGCTTCCTCTAGACTTCCCACTGTAGCCCGGCTCTCTGTGCCTGTGCCTCCCCTATCCTAACTCTGGTTACTCTACCCTATACTTCTACTATAGGCTTGACTACCTGGGGTCACTGCTGTTGAGTCTGTCTCCCCTTCTGGACTGGAAGCTCCAGCAGCTACTGGAACTGTCTCAGTCACTCCTGAGCCCCCAACACAGCAAAGGGCCTAGAGCAAACTAGGTGTGGAGGGACAATCTGGTGGTTGAATAAATTGATGGGATAGTGATGCTGGGGAGAATCATGAACAAGGAGGGCAGAACTCTTCAGCTAACTTCTTATCATCCTTTAGGTCTCATCTAATAAGTCCTTTCTTTCAAGGAGCTCCTTCTGATCCCCAAGGCTGAGTCACATGCCTATTCTGGGATTCCATAATCCCCTGGGTTCCCCCACCTGAGCACTCTAGGTTGTTTTTCTGGAGACAGCTTCCCTCCACCCCAAAAGATCCAGATAGTGGATCTACATAGTGCTTTGGAGTTCTGGGAGTGCAAACACCCAAATCCCCAGGTCCTCTGGGACTCCAGGGGTCTCTTGGCCTCCACCCCCAGGTATGAGACACTTGGATTCTTAGATCAATTCATCCCTTCAGCCCCTTTGCAAACCAGGCCCCTACTGAATCCTGTTTCATGGGCATGTGACCAATATAGACAACAGTTCCCTGTGCTCAGAAAAGCCTTGCTTTTGGACTAGATGCTCTGTGGTCACCACATTTTAAGAATTATTAATTTTTTTTTTTGAGACAGAGTCTTACTATGTTGCCCTTGGTAGAGTTCTGTGGCATCACAGCTCACAGCAACCTCAAACTCTTGGGCTTAAGCTTTTCTCTTGCCTCAGTCTCCCAAATAGCTGGGATTACAGGCACCTGCCACCACGCCCAGCTATTTTTTTGTTGCAGTTGTCATTGTTGCTTAGCTGGCCCAGGCTGTGTTCAAACCTGCCATCCTAGGTGTATGTGACCAGTGCCCTGCCCACTGAGCTACGGATGCCACTGAAAATGTAAAATTCTTAATGATTGACAGATGAAAGTGAAGTCTGAAAGGATAATGGAGCATGACGGGGAAGACTGGTGGTTTAGCTCACAGGCAGCACTACCTGCCTTGGGCAGGTTCTCTCTCCCATCCCCTTCTGCCTGCTCTTGGCAGGGCCCTGGTACAGGCTCGGGAGGATCAGGGTCAGGCACTCATGCCTCCTAGCATCTTGGGATGGGGTGTGGTGGTGGGCAGCTCGTGGGAAGGGGAACCCAGCAACTAGGACACACAAGTTGTGGGGCAGGATCTGTAGCCATCATTGGCTGGCTCCATGAATATCCCTGTGCCCAAGGGAACATGACATTAAATGCCATGAGGGATGCAGTGAGACTAAGCCAGAAGAAAGGAAAAAAGCATTTACGTTTTAGAACCTTAAAGGCCTACTTTCCAGAGTCCCACATTTCATTTTGCACTGGGCCCCCAAAATTATGCAGTTGGCCCTGCCCCCAACCCCAATCCTTCCCTGACTCATCCCAGTTAGTGTGTTCCAGAGTGAGTGGGTCTGACACAGGCCGGCAACATTGGGCTCTGAGCCTGCTCTGCCCCAGGAGACAGGAAATCTAGGGTGGATATGGCCTCTGGTTTGTCTGAGGCCCAGCTTTGGGATCTCCAGTGCTTGGGGCTGCCTCCTCACTGACCCCTGAGCTGGATTCTACATCTCTTTGCAGTGAAGCCTATAGAGGGGAACTGGAGAAACCCAGCAGGTAGTAGCTTAGTGGAGCCCTGCATTCAAACCTCCCTCTGTTCTCTGGTCCTGGGCCAAGAAGGGGTCAGTGCCCAGAATCTAGGCAGGCCCAAGCAAGAACAGTCTCCCCACCCCTGGATCCCACTCCCTCCCAAGATGCTAGTTCTTCTGGTTGGGCCAGTTGGGGTTCCTCCCTGAAACTCTCCCACACAGCTGGGGCCTGCAGGGCCTCCTGCTCCAGAGCAGCACACAGTGATAATAGTATTCTCTCCCTGCCTGCTGCTCACTGGGTCCTCATTCCATCCCTCAGGAGGTAGAGGTTTTCAGATCCATTTGACAAAGGAGGCAGCTGAAGTTCAGAGGAGATTGAGTTACATAAGGTCATACAGCAAGAGGGTGGCAGAGGCAGGGTTCAAATTTCACTCTGTCAATTCTAGACTTGATACTGCCTCATTCTCCCACCTTGGACACTCAGAGGGGTGAAGGCACTTTCGCAGGGTCACACAGCAAACCAGGAGTGAGGCTGAGATTCCTGGGCTGGGAGGCAGGGGCTAGTGCTGAATGACTTCACAAGAAGTCATTCACTTTCTCTCTCTGAGCCTTAGCTTGATGCTAAGTAACCCCACCTATGTGACTGATGTATTTGTCATTGTTGGAAACTAGGGTGCCTGACAGGGTCTGGGGAACAGATAATGTCCTTACGAACACAACCGCTATTCATCCTGCCATCAGACAGTGAGCCAGGCAAATGGAGCTGCGTCTGACCTCTGACTCTGCAACTTTCCTTACTGACAAATATCTTCCTTTCCTGGGGTCTGTTTCCTCCTTTGCAAAGTAGATGTTCCTCTCTACCCCCTCGTTTAGGCATTCAAGGAGAGGTTCTTATAAAAGGGTTGAGCACCCCTTTTGGCAGGCAGCTGGAGAGCAACAAGTGGGCTCCAGCTGCATATTATTAATAAATAATAATAATCAACTTAACCTAGTATTACCAGTAATAACAGCAAACACTTTGTACCACCTGGAGCTAGGCCCTATTTTTTAACCCTTTCATGTATATTTGGCATTAATCTCCATAACGGCCCTATGTGGCAGGTACTATTAAGATCCTCATTTTACAGATGAAGCCAGGTAATTGACAAAGTTTCCTAGCTGGTAACCAAGGTACCCATGTACCTAACTATAGGTTCTCAAGCCAGACTGCCTGGCTTCAAATACTGCCTCCATCACTTCCTAGCTGTGTGACCCTGCTGAAAGTTGTGAAGCCTCTCTCTGCCTCGATTTCCCCGCTTGTAAATTGACTATCACAGAAATCTTTCATAGGACTGTTGTGTGTAAAGGGTGTGAAAAATAGGCTGGCACAGAGGAAGCATTGAATAAATCCAAACAAATGTGCTTTTGTTATTATCTTCGTTTACAGAGGTCTCTGAACATCAAAGAATTAAAGCAACTTTGCTCCAGGTCACACAGCAATCAGGAGCAGATTTGAGATTCAAACCCCAGTCTGTCTGCCTCTAAAACTAAGGGTCTTTGCAAAATATCATCTAAGACCAGGTCTATGACCCTGGCAGGTGACAGTGGGAGGGTTTGGGTTCAAATTCCAGCTGTGCCACTTTCAAGCCTCTTCCAACCTCAGTGTTCCTCACCTGTGAAATGGGGCTTGGTCCTCTCTTTGCAGAGCTGTCATGACAATCAGAGAGGGTTCAAAGAAAGTCCAAACACAAAGTAGGTGTTCAATAAATGATACTATCTTGTTTGCTTTTCTTTTCTTTTCTTTTTCTTTTCTTTTTTTTTTTTTTTTTGAGACAGAGCCTCAAG